GGCATTCCTTGGCTTGTGGCTGTATCTCTCCAGTCTCTGACTCCATCTTATACCTTCTCTGTGTGTACCTGTGTCTTCTCCTCTTCTGTCTCCAATCTCCTGCATCCCTCTTATCAGGATACATGTCATTGTATTTATGGGCCCACCTGGATAATCCAGGCTAGGCTCCTTCTCTCAAGATCCTTGACCTAATCACATCTTTTGCCACCCGAGGTAATATTCACAGGTTCTAAGAACTAGAAAGTGACTATATCTTTGGGGGCCCGTTCTTCTGCCTCATACAGTCAGTGAGTGGCAGAATGAGCATTGATGCCAGGGTTTCCCTACTGAGTAAGTTTCCCTGCTGTGACAGTGCTTGTCATCACGTCAGGCAGGCAGTGGTGCCTTATTAGCTGCTGTCCTTTCCTTAATTTTTATCTTGAGCACTGCGCTCAGGCTTGAGGAAACAGAGATGAGTAAGTCCCGATGCCCATCTTCAAGGAGTTTACAAATGGCCTAGGTGGGAGTCAGGGAACCTGAGTTTAGCCAGTCCTGGCTCTCTCCTACCTCAGACACATTGGACGTTTCCCTGCTCCGCTGGGCCTCACTTTTTCTTTTTTTTTTCTTTTTTTTTTCCGGTACACGGGCCTCTCACTGTTGTGGCATCTCCCATTGCAGAACACAGGCTCCGGACGCGCAGGCTCAGCGGCCATGGCTCACGGGCCCAGCCGCTCCGCGGCATGTGGGATCTTCCCGGACCGGGGCACGAACCCGTGTCCCCTGCAACGGCAGGCAGAATCTCAACCACTGCGCCACCAGGGAAGCCCTGGGCCTCAGTTTTGTCACCTGTAAATGGGGCCCTGGACTGGCTTCACCCCAAAGCCCCATCCGTCTTGTCACTTTCGGATTTGTCCTATTTAGGTCAGGACAAACCCATGTCCGAGGAGCCAGCGCCGTAGCAGGTGGATGCAGGGTGTGTCAGCTTTTCCCTTTAGACTACTCTTGTCAGCACGCCCAGCAGCTTCCTCTGTGTGCTCTGGGGAGTCCTCTTGGCTCCGTCCAGAAGTGAGAATGGTAGAGACCCAGACAGCTTTGGATTGTCTGTATCTGAGGGTGGCAGGTTTTGCCAGCGACGAATGAGTCAGAGGTACTGCTTGTTGTGTGTTACTGTGGGGCTAATGCAAGGCCGAGGAGGCTGTGGTCATCATCCCTTTGGCTGAAAATTACCCTTAGTTAAAAAGGTCACGTGTGTGCGTGGGTCTGCCCATGCGTCTTGCTGGATGCACACACGGCTTGGAGCAGGCGGCCTGGTGGGAGGCGCTAACTGAGAAGTCGGGCGGGGCCGACAGGAGCCCATCCTGGGACCCTCAGTGTCGCCCAGCCTCCTGGAGAAGTGGTGTTTCAACAGGAAGCCGGAAGCTGAACCCCTGATCGATCCGCTCTGTTCCCCTTTGTACTTCCCTGACCAAGTGCCCCTCAGTGGGAGGCAATTGCATTGCCTGGAGTTTAGGATGCTCATAAAAGGAGTTAATAGCCCGTAATTACACAGGTGAATTGCACTTGGCAGGCCCATTTAAAGAAGGGCAGTGAAACAGAGCCTCTTTTAATAGTGTGACGTTTACCGGGCAAATCAAATCCCAAAGCCGGCTAGTTTCAGGCTTCCGAAGGGGCTTCTGTGGTTGTATTAGTTCTTTGCCTCACTCACTGATTTGCACAGATCTTTCCACCTTGCAGGGGCACTTGGGGAAGTATTGAGACCCTCTGAAACTGAGCGGGCTTGTTACAACTTCCCCAGCATTTACTGGTAAAGTTTAGTCACTATTTGCTCAGTCTGAGAATGGGTCGAAGGGCGGGAGATTGTAAAAGAAAATGGGACACAAGTCTGCTTTCCTTTAAAAAAATGTAAGAGGTGGGCCGAGTCATTCCTTTTTTGGCTCTTGGTTTTACAAGTTCACTGTCACTGTGCCACAGTGCTAGCACCGCCCACACCCTCTGGATGGACGGCCTCCGTGCCCATCTAGCAGCCTCACTCCCCTTCTGACCAGAGCAGCGTGTTTCATTAGAAGGAGGCACCTCGGTTCCTCCTTCTTCTGACGCTGCAGTTGGACCTGCAGAACCTACCCCTCCTGCCAACCTGAAAGTTGGCATTTATGGCTGGAATGTCTTTTTCTTTCAGCATTGTTTTCGGGGTCACAGCAGAGTAAGCTGGTGACAGAGGTGCCAGTGAGAATACTTCTGGGCTAAACCTTAAAGCCTTGGAAGGAACAAGTAACTATGACCTTGGTGGTTTCCTTTTGTCCTTCACTCTGACCAGTTTCAAAACTCACTTTAAGTCATCAGTTTGGACTTGAGGCTCACTAAAGATGAAAAGACTGAAAGGACAGGTTCAAAAGTGGCGAGGAAAGAAGGAGATGAGTCTGAACAGAAACAGCTGATGCTTGAGAGCCTTGGGTCTGCTGTTCTGCTGGGCATGTCACACCATCTCATTTCCTCTCTCATCAGTCCTGGGAAGTTGGCAGTGCTAACAGGTGTGGATTCTCAGACTTAATGAGCTCAAAGTCACACAGCTTTGGGAGTGGCCTTGTTAAGACTCAAACCCAGATTCATTCAAAGTCACTGCCATTAACCATGAAGCCTTAAAGGTTTCCAGGAGACAGTATCCTTGAACCCAACCCTTCAGGGTAAGTTAGATTTAGACAAGCAGAGAGGAAGAGGGAGGAGGTTCTGGGCAAGGGAAACGGTAGATACAATCAAAAGCCTGGGAGGGAGTCAGCCTGGCATGGAGTATTGCCTGCCAGTTGTAAGCTCCATGGGGCAGGGACCACATTCTCCAGGGCCACCATTGTATCCCCAGTACCTGAGTGCCTGGAGCATAGTAGGTGCTCAATAAATATTTATTGTGTGAACAAATACATGACCAGTCATCTTCCTATACACCATGAGCCTCTGGAAGGCAGGGACTAGGTCTTAGAAATCTTTGGATGCCCCACAGCTCACATGGTTAATAAATAGTAACCAATAAATATGTTCTGATGGAATGAATGAATGAACAGCAGGTAAGAGAGAGTGAGGAGATGAGCCTGAGTGAAGAGGCATTGACACTTTGGGAGATACTGAGCAATACACATGGGCTGCCGTGGTCAGGGCATGTCATGGACGGTCTTCGGTGCCAGGACAAGGAACTCTTGTGTTCTCTATTTTTTAAAAAGCCATCTCTTAACGTGCAGCATCGTGGGGTCTACAGAAACCCAGCCAGCACCCAAACTCTGTTGAGCGTGCATGGGAACCACAGTCAAGTACAGCTTAGAAATCACTTTTCTGTAGGACTGGCCTCAACCCACTGTTGCTGGATTCCCATTTTGGGAAGTGACCAAAACTAACAAGAGGCCTGTAAACACTTGTGAATGGGACCCTGCAGGGTATAGATAGTGCTGTGGGGTCCTGGAATTGTTTTTAGGATAGTTTGGCCAGGAAGCCCCAGCCAACTTCCTCCAAGATGGGGTCTGCTCAGCCTAGGCGTTTTCAACAAAAGCTGCCCTCTCTTTTCAGGTGTTGGCTAACGTTGTGGTTTTGAGAAAGCCTGAGGGCCAGAAAGCAGTCCTGGCAGAAGCCCTCTGGGTGGGCAGTCGGAACCTTCAGGTCCAGAGGAGAAGCCGTTCCCTCACCTGGACTTATGACCCGCGGCTTCGCCCCCAGCCTGCCTGTCGAGTTCCCCAAGATGGGCTCTTTCCGCAGGCCCAGACCGCGCTTCATGAGCTCCCCGGCGCTCAGCGACCTGCCCCGCTTCCAGGCAGCCCGCCAGGCTCTGCAGCTGAGCTCCAACTCGGCCTGGAACAGGTACAGGAGGCATGGGCGGGCAGAGGGGCACTGCCAGCACCAGAGCAGGGCCAGGGGCTGGCTGAGCTTCAGCAGCTCCTGAGATCTCAGCTCCAGAAGGTCGTGAGTAAAGGGGTGATTGATGAAGAGCGTGCTTTCCCTACGGTAACTGTATCCATTAGCTTTCCTTTTTTAAAACAATCTTTTTTTCTTTTTTTATTGACGTATAGTTGATTTACAGTGTTGTGTTAGTTTCAGGTGCACAGCACAGTGATTCAGTTTTCTTTTTTCTGATTGTGTTCCATTATAGGTTATTCCAAGATATTGAATATCGTTCCCTGTGCTGTACAGTAAATCCTTGTTGCTTATTTATTTTATGTATGGGAGTTTGTGAATCCCATACTCCTAATTTGTCTCTCTCCCCCTCCCTCTCCCCAGCTTTCCTTGTTTTAGTAGAGGGAAAGCAGACCACTGGGGGCCTCTGGGCTCTCAGAGTCAGTTAACCAGCCCGGGACAGTTGGATCAGAACTTACAGTTACTGTTCATGCCCATTAGTCACACGCCAATTGTAAGAGGACCCGGGGATGGGAACATATAAGTAACCTCAAGTTACCTGTTACCCCTTCGGAGAGCTGAGACAGTATCTGTGAAAAGCTAACTAAGCAGCATAAACGAGGGGTGATCCATACCTGGGAGCGACAGGTGGCTGGGAGAGGAGACAGCCTTTGTAAGGCGTCCAGCTGAACTATCGTGCACCCAGCACTGAGTAGAGACTGAATCTGTTGTATGTCTCACCCTTCTCTGAGCTATTTTTCAAATCTGTGTGGTTCCTTTTTGGATAAATCAATGCATCATTATTTTAAAGCATTATGGAATTCTTTGTCATTTGGATTATTATGGATTTTTTCAATGAATGCCCAACCCTTATGATGGGGAGGGAGGAGGTGTCCGAAATGTTTTGATGTTAAATGGAGGCTTGTTCATTTAAAAAGGTCTGGAACCCTTGGTAAAGACAAGCTTGTGATCAGCTCCTTGCTGAAATGTTGGGCTGGGGTCCAGAGAACGTGGAGTTAAGACTTACCTGGGCCCCTCAACGGATTAACCCTTCTGCCTAGACAGTGGCAGGAGTGGGAGTGGCAGGGGAAGTGAGGTCACCCCCTCTGGAGTTCTTCCCAGAGGGTACTATTAAAAGGCAAGGACAATTAAAATCCATATTTGAAAATTTTTTTAAATTAAAAATTTTTTAAAGGCAAGGAATTATCCTTTCCTATTGGCCCTGGGTCTCCAGGCTGCCCTGTGAAGTCAGGTCTCCTAAGTGAAAGAACCCCAGACCTGAGTCGTCTCCTGCTTGCAGTTACTGCCACTGGGGATTCTTTCAGGCCCAGCGCTGGTGGCCACGCAGTTTCCTGAGAGTAGATCCCACTGCCTGCCCTTCATTAAGGCCGCCCCCCAGCAGGGCTGCCAGCCTGTGAGAAAGTGCGGGGGTGGGGGGTGGGGGAGGGCCTACTTTTGGGTCCTCCTGGCCTCAGTCTCCCTTCCTCTCCAAGGACCCTCAGATGGAAGTGACGGATTCCAGGGATAGAAAACGTGGCCGTGTTTGTGCCACAGGCTTCCTGGCCCTTCCACCCACCTTCAGTTCTGAGCTGCTTGTGGAAATGGCCCCGGGGAGACAGATCCACTCACCAGGGGTCGTTTCTATTTCCCTGCAGCGTCCAGACTGCCGTGATCAATGTCTTTAAAGGGGGCGGCTTGCAAAGCAATGAGCTCTACACACTGAACGAAAACATCAGGTATGTGGCTGGCCAGGCTAGGACCCTCCCACCGTGGGCCTGAGCTGGGGTGGAAGGAGCTACCCCACCCCCAGGAGCTTTACCTTAAATTCTGTTTTCTGCTTGGTTCCTATTGCTGCTTCTGTTGGCTTTAATGAGACTCTTGTAACTGTTAAGTTCTGAGGCCCTTATCTCTCTAGACTTCTGCTCCAGAGAGGACTCATCCATTTGTCCATGTATATAATGTATGTTTGGGTCACTGGGGTAGAGGGTTGACATCTGGTAGCTGCCATTTATTCTGTAAACATTTCTTGTGCCCTGCTTGATTAGTAGGTGCCATATTAGGCCAGGATGGCCTAGCAGTTGGTAGCAGACTGCTTGGGATTTTATTACTATTCTTCCTTTTACTAAGTAGCTTGCCAACTTCTTTGTGCCTTGGTTTCCTCTTCTGTGAAACAGAGATAGGAAATGCACCTACTTCCAATGCACAAGATTCTTGTGAGTTATTAAGTTACTATGTAAATAGTCTGTAAGAACAGGGTTGGAACACACCAAGTATTTGGTACTTGGAGCTCTTATCATCATCGTTACTGTCATTGCTGTTAGGTTTTGGTGATGAAACCCTCAATAAGACATGGTCCTTGAGGAGTTTAATGTCTTCAAGAATCTTCCCAGTAGTGTCCACTACTTGTTCATTCATTCATCAAATATATGAGTGCCTCCCTATTAGCCAGGCACTGGAAAAACAACAATGAGCAAAGACAGATGTGGCCCCTGCTCTCCTGAAATTTATATTCAGTTGAGGAGATAATCATTAGTCAACTGATCACATATGTAAAATGTAATATTATGCACCTGTGACGGCTACTACAACACAGCTGATGTGATGAAAGTGTATGTTAGTAGGACTTGATCTTGCCAAGGAGGCCAGGAATGATGATGTGATACTTGTGCTGTCATCCGAAGGATCGGTGGGAAATAACTGGATGAAGAGGGCTCCAGGTGGGGGCAACTGCACGTGCAAAGGTCCAGTGGTAGCAATGAGCAGGGAACTGAAAGAAGGCCCACGTGCGCAGAGTACTGGAGGTTGGGTGGTGGTGCGGTTGGGTTTGTGTTTTGGTGAAATGAGGGCAGAGAGGCAAGCAGGGCCTAGAGCCCCAAGGTCTCCCGGGATAGGAGGTTGAACATCAGGTCTTTTAATGCCCTGGTGTTCATTCCTCTTGGGTGTGTTAAGTGCAGAACATCAAGGGTGAAGACCTAACCCTGGAATGGGCAGAACATTAAAAAAGGCCATTATTCAGGTCTTGTTTACATTTAGTTAAGACCTGTGTTAAGGGTCAGTGAGGTGTTTTAAGAGCTCTGCTTTCATTAAAACGTTTAGAGCTTGGAAGCAAACAGAGTTGTGTTAAATTTCTAGCCAGGCACTTGAATTTCGCCTAATAATTACACAAATATGGGAAGAGACAATAGAGATCATCTCACCCAAGCCCTCCTTTTACAGAGGAGGAAACTGAGGCCCTGAGATGTTGAGTGACAAGGGCAAAGCTGGGTCGGCCAACCCCCCAGCTTGCAAGAGCTGAATTTTACTCCAAGAACTAAGATCTCGGTCTTTTCCGTGAACGTCCCTTAGCTCACAATAGATGTATAAATAAATAAAACGGTGGCTCAGGAACGTGCTAATTGTTCCTCACATCAGGGGACTGATCCTGAAATTGTACTTAAAACCTTTGTGGGCAGCTAGGAAAAATACGGGCCACGCTAGATTTCAACAGCCCTGTTAACCCCGGGCTGCTCACTCAGAAGCCCGCAGGTACCCAGCAGGTCTAAGTGGGTGAAGCCGGCCTGGAGAGTGGAGGGGAGAGCTCACCCTCTGTCCAAGGGGATCTCCCCCTGCCCAGAACAATGCAGGTCCAGTGACATACCATCTTATTTCTCAAGAAGAACCAGAAATTGAGATTTTTATGTGAAATTTTGTCTTTTAAATGTTGATAAGTAATCCAAATGTCCCCAAACATTGGTACAGGCCAAACAAAACACATCTGTGGGCTGAATTTGACCAACGGGCTGCCCATTTATGAGATCGGCCATAGCATACATGGGGCGGCATCGCTGATGGGGTGTCGTGTCCCAGATTCTGGCGCTAAGGACACCCAAGTGGGGGAGAAGGGAACTGACATGGATGGAGGTGCCAGGAAAAGTGCCAGGCACCTTTCACATACATCATATTCAGCCCTCCTCACAGCCCTGAGAGACAATCATTGTTCTCAGTGCATAGTTTATCCACAAAATGATGGGCAAGAGAAACAAAATAGCTTTTCCAAGGTCACGCAGCTATGAACGATAGAGTCAGGATGTGAACCCCTGTCTGACGTAGGCACCTATGTTAGTTTGCTCAGGCTGCCGAATGGTTTTTGTAACCATAGACTGGGAGGCTTAAACGATAGATGTTTATTTCTCACTGTTCTGGAAACTGGGAAGTCCAAGGTCGAGGTGCTGGCAGATTGGGTTCCTGGTGAGAGCTCTCTTCCTGTCCGCCATCTTGCTGTGTCCTCGCACGGCCTCTTTGTGTACGCGATGGGGAGAAAGCAAGCTCTCTGGTGTCCCTTCTTATAAGGATGCTAATCCCAACATGAGTGTTGAGGGTCCTACCTTCATGACCTCATCAGAACCTAAGTACTTCCCAAAGGCCCCATCTCCTAATAGTGTCACATTGTGGGTGTAGGGCTTCAACATATGAATTTGGCGGGTGAGGGGACACAATTCAGTCCCCAGTGGAATCTGTGCTCTTTGCGCTATATCATAGTGTCAGAGGGAGAGGTTCTAGGCTGGAAGAAGTGTTAAGCCAATGGTCTTGATCTTTCTTTCTGCCATTGTTCCTTTCCCAAGGCCTCCGGGACTCCATCTCTACCATGTGCTGTGATTCTTAATACCCCTCCAAGGATCACATCACTCCTCCAACACTCCTTTCCAGTATTGGGTTTAGTGGGGGCTGTTGGATGTTCCTTTCTATGTTTTGAGCAATTTTCGGGCTAGTGAGAAACACATATGGTTGGGGTTTGAAACTAATTGCCTGGATATGAATTGAGCCCAGAATAACTCAAAGCTGTCAAAAACCAGAGCTTCGATGACCATGTCCTGGACCGTCTACCCTCTGTCCTTCTTTAGGATGGTGGTTAGAACGAGATGGGCTTTCCTAGCACAGACACTCAGAGTATAACTGAGAACATGAAACACATCCCAGGCATATGTATGACCTGGTCGTCCCAAGTTAAATAAAGTGAACCCACGTTTTTCAATCAATTATGACAGTTCTATGTGCAAGAAGATCCCTGCCAGATTCAAGAGAATTGTTTAACTTGTTAAGAGAGTGGCTTTTGGATTCAGAGAGACTAGGGATCAAAATTAGATCAGCTGTGTGACATGGGCAAGTTACTTCATTTATCAATCTCTGTTTTTTCTTTTATGAAATGGGGATAATAATGACATGAACTTCATAGTGATTGGGAGGTCTGAGATAATGCTAAAATTGTCATTATTACAAGATCCGGTGCCGAATAGATGTTAGCCATTATTATTCCTATTATGAAAATTGAGCAATAATAAAGTGGTAAATGCTGGCTGAGTACCATGCGTGAGAGCACAGGGCGGTGTGATGAATTGCCCCATAAACAGTACTGTATACAAAGTTCTCTAGCTGTTTGGATGAGGTGAGCTGACTTTGAACTAGAGAGGTCCAGGACAGGCCCTTCCAAGAATGTGCTGGCCTGGAAGTGTGGGTGAGGCTAAGTTCTTACAAGGAGAGCCAGCTGTTTCTCCTTTCTTCAGAGGAAAGAACAAGAGGAAATGACTCTCTCAGTTCTTCATTCTACTCCAGCCAGACAGTAATAAACGTTGATGGATTATCCAAGTCCAATGTCAAAGCCTAAATCAGCTTTCCCGGGTCACCCCAGCCAGCCCTGGTCATCTTTCTAACTGTGGAGTTAGTGTGTTCCCTGGGAAATATGAATTCGTGTAAATATTAGCCAATGCAAAGGATGACCGGGAAGGTAAGTTTTATATAACTGGGTTCTGAAATGCAGTCGTTACAAACAATTGATTTTTTCTTCTAAGACGTGTCTCCATGTCTTAAAAATGAACTTCAGTTTAAACATAAGTAGATAGACTTTGGGGTGTCTCTGAGGAAGGACTCTGGACTAAGGGTGTTCAACTTCTAAAACAAATTACTAGATCAAGAGAAGGATGCGGAGACCTTTTTCTTTTTTTGAAAAAAAGACTGGAAAGTGTCCAGCCATAGTTTACATTTTGATTGAAATGAAAATTGTTGGAGGTACAGAGATAATGCTTTTCCATGCACTTGTGTCGACATTAATTAGCAACTTAAAGGATACAATATGCTTGTGTATATTACGTGTTTTAGAAAACAAGAAAATTCCTTATATAGTGTTCCTCAAGCTAACAATGGAAATGTGGTTCTTACGCTACCCATTATTATTGCCAAGAACAGATATGCTTCTGAACACAGCCCTGGAAGTGGTGGTCTAATCTCACTGGTATATTTATATAGCTGTTGAAAGAACATAACAGAATATGCTACTGATACATTGTTCACACCCTGTGGATGGAGCTAAGAGTCCTTCACTAACACCTTTGCTGTTAATTGCACATATTTCTGGATCACCAAATTTACTGAAAGATTTTTTACAAAAATAATAAATTAAACAGGTTAAAAAAATAAGGACATTTATGATAACATGCATGGTAATTATGGTAAAATTAGCAGTCTGAAATTTCATGCTTTTTCTTAAATATTAATTTAAAAACAACTTTTGCTCACAGTGAGCCAGTTTACCTCCTGATGCAGAAGCCAGGATATAGGATTTTTGTCATCTAACTCCACATGATCTTAACCCCATTTCTCATTAGCATTTATTTCCTCATTAATTTTGTTTTTTTTAATTTAATTTAATTTATTTATTTTATACAGCAGGTTCTCATTAGTCATCCATTTTATCTACATCAGT